ATTCTGCTATACTAACTAGTTCGTTCTAGAGCATGGCCTCGCCGAATTGCTGTATTTTTTCAGCAAATGTCCAAAGACAATTTGGCAGACGTCCAACCGCATGAATCTTCAAAATAAGCACATGCGTTATTGTTAATATCTTTAGTTTTGAACCCCAGACTGCGGACTCCCTCATTTTGCTGTGGACACCATTTTTTTGAGGGCAGGGAGTCCGTTGTACTCCATCATTCAAAAGTTAATTTCTACTCCTGATATTGTCATCGCAATCAACTCCGCATGCCTTCGTGAACATCAGTGTGCATTTTAGGTAGGTGGACTACACTGGACACTCACGCAACAGAAAGACGCACAGTGCGTGCCTACAGCTGGGAGAAAAATGTCAGACCTGCATGCTGCCTGTTTATGTGGGGACGTTCAGAAAGTGTTAGAACTTCTGCGAGGTGGAGCGAAAACATCGTGCGTGAACGTACGCATGGAGACGCCTCTCCACGCCGCCTGCACATTTTCGCAGTACAGGGCGGAAGAGAAGATGGAGATTGTGAAACTGCTGCTGCTGCATGACGCGCCCCTGCAAGTGGAGGATGAGCGCGGGCGAACGCCTCTCGTACTCGCCTGTGAAATAGCCAGTGTGGATGTTGCAGCCGCGCTGCTAGACAGCGGTGCGGACCTCCGCGCGCGTTACCGTGACGACAGAACGATGCTGCACGCGGCCGTAGCCGGCGGGAACGCGCGGGTCCTGGAGCTGCTTCTCGCGCGCGACTCGATCGACATCGACGCGAGAGGCAGATTGGGATCGACGGCGCTGTGTAACGCGTGCGCGGGCGACCGCCCCGAGCTAGTACGTGCTCTCCTCGAGAGTGGAGCTGACCCCAACATTGGTGACCGCTGTGGGGTCACGCCCCTGCACAACGCCTGCCGGCAGGGCAACGTCGACCTCGCACGACTCCTGCTCGAGCATCGAGTGAATCCGACTGCCGCCAATGCAGACGGACAGACGCCGATGTGCTGGGCGCGCAAGTACGGACACGACGACGTCGTCGAGTTGCTAGTGCGCCACAAGAGGGCGCCGCACGCAGCCCGCTGGAACGGCCGCACAGCGCTGCACCTGGTGGTGAAGCCGGCGACGCGGGGCGGACGCGGATGCCCGAGACCCAGAAGATATTATCAATACTTCCTGGTAGATCTATATTCTAATAGTTGCACGTGTTGGCAGACATATTTCATTGCAATGTAAAATCGAGTATATATAATAGTAACACACTATATACAGTTTTTATAGAAACACGTAGGTTATCGGCAGGAGTAGATAATAGAAGAATCTTCTATTATCTACTCCTGTTATCGGTATGATGCCTTGGTGAATTGGCGCGATTTAATAACCACGAGTACAAATGTTAAAAGTTATTTTGCTCTGTAAAAAAACTCTAAAGGACTAGTTGGGTTCTGAATATTAAAAAAACCTACACGCCCCCAAGCGTTGCTTCGTGAGAGTTCGGTTTTTTCGGCGATAACTTTATGAATGAACGGCGTTTCGGTTATCATCGGTGACTTTCGGGGGCATCGCCTATGCCCTTATCTCCCATTATGTTTCCTAGCACAGCTAATGCCCGTCATGATGGAGCCGGCAATGTTTTCTAAATTAAGTCTACAACGCAGCTCAGTTACTATATGGTGTAGTAAGAGTACCAAATTTGGGCATGTGACATCAATTATCAGCGCTCCAAGCGGTGACGGAAACCGATACAGGGTTCGTAGCGGGTCTTCCAAAGTCTTATAAGTACTTATTTTGCCAAAAATAAAATAAGGGCCCTTATTAGTACTTATTTTTGGTGAAATCTTAGAAAAGTACTTAATAGTATTTTATACTTATCCTTATACATATTTTTTGCAACCTACAATATTTTATATAAATTGTTTTATAAACTGTTCTCGACTTAGAGTAAGAATTGTTGTATATATAATACGGAATAATCAAATTTGCTGTCCAATTGTGTATATAAATATTATTAGTGTACTTTAGTGATCTATCAGAAATTGCATAAAAAAAGTCTTATTTTGGCCTCCAGAAAGGGTCTTATATGTCCTTATTTCAACATGTGTCTTACTACTATGAACCCTGCGATAGCCAAAATGCTGACTGGCTTAGGGGCGTGTAGGTTGGTGAATAAGCTGGATGCGAGGCGGCGTGAGGCATGTGGGAGGGGAGGTTTAGGAGCCAATATCTCAGCCTAGGAGTATCGTATTGACAAGCGGTTGGTCTTGTTTTAGAGACCAAAGAATTCTGCTTAATGCAATACCATAAAATTTTTTTCGACTCGCAGGCAAAGTAGAATAATGTTGTCGTGAAATAGCACTATTTTCGCGTTTTTCCGTTGTACACTCTAGGTATTATTAGCTCTTGATAATATACCCCTTAATAGGGTATATATACTATAGATATATATATATATGCAGTCCAGCCATAGACTGAAGGGACACTACGCCCTAGACTTTTAAATAAGCCAAGCGAATACTCACGTACGTACTCACTGCGTGCTTGATCTTTGCCCTTACCTTGTAGCTGCGCTGGGGTGACCATGACAGAGGAGCGTCGGTTGGCGAGTGACATACGCTTGACATGCTTGCGTGGCACATCGCTCTTGGGGGGTAGGTCTGTGTGCTGCAGCCGCATCAGCTGCGCTCGGCTCTGCGGCGGAGTGGAGTAGGTTTCCTCGTCGCTCTCCGTCATGTCTAGCGGAGCGATCACGGGAGATCTGCTCGCCAGCTTCCTCGAGCGTTTCGCAGGACTGCCACTCTTTTCTTCGCTGCCACGCTTCTACAACACGAGCAACGTCGAGAATGTTTTAAATACTGTATACGCTGTATATTTCGCGGTGGTTTAATTTTCGGGAATTTCGCGAATGCATCCCTGACCGCGAAAATAACAACACGCGAATTATAACTCATACCAAATAATACGGAATAATTCATAATTCACCGACCGCTAAATTAAAATATCTGTACACAGAAAATATGGCATATACAGTAGGTCAGAACAAAGGCACTGACAATCTTATTAATACATCCCAGCGATTGTAAAAACGGACACAATTTTCGATATCTATCTAATAAGATAAATATCGAGAATACACAGATATGATCAATCATGGTCATGATAATCAAACACTCGTTTATGGTGATTAATTGATTAATCAATTGATCAACCCAAGGTAATTGATGTAATCCTAAATCTTATAGTTTCATACCACATGGTGATAGCATTTCTACAGCAACACCTTTTTATTTCACAAACACAGTGCTTTCAGTGGCTTTACAATCTGTGCTACTATATGAATTCTGACCACTAAATCTTGTACGCTCATTTTTCAATCAATCGTTGATACGCGTTAAAAAAAAATATAACCTAGTAGTCGCGTGGTTTAAACAACTAATCTATGACGAACTAATAGTCATTATTCCCGAGATACTAAGCACTTGCCCTGCTCTCCCTCTTTAGCTTGGGAACGGCTGACAGCGGCGTTACGAATGGTGACTCTACGGTGGTGCCTCGCGGTGACCTCCTAGGTGTTCCCTTGCTCAGTTTGCTATTGTTCTTGACCATTTCTCCAACCTCCTGCGGCGTTGCGGCAAGAGTACCATTGAGTCGCAGCTTTGAAAGGCCTGCTTTACCCCTGGCACCTCCCTTTAAAATCAGCGGAGAAACATGAACATTTTAAACTTGAAAGACGTTCGTGAATGTGAGTGAAAAATTCAAGAGGCTATGTGACAAGGGGAGTCAAACAAATCTGGGACTGTACGAAAAAACCAGCAAGTAGACTGTGTAACTATGTAGTAAAGCACATTAAGGGTATGTTATTGTAAACTGACACAATCACTGATTTACACATCTACAAGCATCCCAGTTGATAAGCATCTGAATTCTCACATGATTGCCACGCAATGTGAATCGGAGCAATATCGAAATTGAAAGCTTTTTCATAATTCTTAATCATTCACCAAGGTGATGACGATTTCCCACCGTGCATAATTAATTGCTCGTTATTCTTTCGACGCAAACCTTTGCGTCTTTAGCTTCCATGTCCACGTAGCCATCGTCGACGAAACCTCGCTTCTTCATGCCTTCGCGAAGTAACTTCCGCAGATAGTTGTAATCTGGCTTCTCCCCGTAGGCGAGTTCGATTGTGTACTGCAGGTACTTCTGTATCTCAGCTGCATGCAGCACAACGCAGATAACAAAATCGTGTTTAATCCCCCCTCGGTAACCATTTCATCGTGGTACGCGAAGGAACTCACGTGAAGAACGACAAAACCTCTTCTTCTTAGGGATGCCCAAGAAGATAATATATTTGAACAATTAAATTTAACACGTTTATCGATCCTAGACTAAATTGACAATGTTCGATGGAACAAATATTGACATAAGAAACGTCGGGTCAGCTTAAATCAAATTACATCTTAAATTACTCAGACTACATTAAATTTTGATGTATTCTATTCTAACTCACATGGTACACACAATAACCAAATGCACAAGATTATTTAGTTACACAAACCAATAAGTATATTAAATGCTCGCACGTTTATCATACAAATGCACATAACGTATCATGTCAGGGCATGAAATTCAGATTTTTTTGCACCAGCCCAGAGGGCTGGTAACAGCAATTTCTTACCAGCCCTCACCATAATTTACCAGCCCTCTGCTAAATAAACATAAACTTTGCTTGTAAAATCAATATCATGTTTCACGCTTGCATTTTCGATTTCAAATTTGTAAAATGTTGATAAATTATGGCGTGATATCCAGGTAAAACAGTAATGTAAGCTATTTGCTCATTAATGCTATAAATGAAAAGGTAGTTACTCGCTAACACAGGCTGAAACCACCGGCTCGGCGGCCCGGTGTTTTGCCAATGTTACCAGCCCTCCAAATAATTTGCCAGTATATGCCGGTGGGCAGGTGCTAATTTCGCGCCCTGCATGTATAAGCAGAATTAAGCCTGTTGGCGAACTCACTTGGCACTTCTTTTCCAAATAGCTTCTTCATGTAGGTAGGAATATTTCCCATGAACCTGGAATACACATACACAAGCAATAAATCATGTGCAATGCCAGCGTCATCATCATTTGTACTCATTTGTGCTGGGAGATTAGGCATCAACGCAACACTCGGCGAGATAACCTTTGACCCGGTACACAGCTACATACCGGCATGCCGGCATACAGCTGGCATGCCCCCATACCATGCACGCACGCCAACCGCAATCAGCAGCAAATCGAACTCAAATCTCCCAGCGTGCCACATTGCCCGCCGAGTTTGCAATAGCGCGTTAGTAGCTGCCTTTTGTTTCAAATTCGTCTCTGAACGCATCGATTTTGCTGGCTACAGAATGGAAAATCGTGTCGTACGTTTTAGTCTATATCTCCGGATTGCAGGTGTATACGAGGAAACGATTTCGCACGATGCTAGGCGAATGTACTGTGCACGATTTGAGCTCAAGTTGGTTGCGTTACGCGTAGTAAATCGTAGGTATTTTAAGGCTAGTAAATGACGAATTTCCTTTGTTTATTGATGTCACACTCCTTCCCTATTATCTACTCCTGATATATATATATATATATATGTATATATATATATATTTGATAACAATCATTAATTTAAATATAAATTTTAATACAAATATTAAATTTTTATTTTATTTTTAAATTTTATTTTTAAATTTTTAAATTTAAATTTTAATATAAATTTAAATATAAATTTTAATACAAATATAAATTTCATGACAATCGGGTAAAAAGTGCAGAAGTTACAGGTTCTAGAATTTTTCGACAAAAAATGTTACCATGGCAACGATGACTTCGCCAACACCAAAAACGATTGGCGTCTTCGCTTGACGATAATGCACCTTCATGCGAAATTTGAAGATGATCCGAGAAGAACTGCAGCCGGTAGAGCGTTCACAAGGAAATCCCTGCAGCGGCGCGACGATGCCAAACCCATAGTATCCCCACGAACTTCGTTCGGGGGATACAATTATGGTATAGGGAATATATGTATAGGGGGTAATAATGGTATAGGGATAGGGATAGGGTGACTGTTTGTACTTGTGTGTTGGACTGCCGTACCCGTAGCATCGAGACCAACGCGTATTAATTGTATCCCCCGAACGAAGTTCGTGGGGATACTATGGGTTTTGCATCGTCGCGCCGCCGCCGCCGCAGAGATTTCCTTGTGAACGCTCTACCGGCTGCAGTTCTTCTCCGATCATTTTCAAATTTCGCATTCAGGTGCGTTATCGTAAAGCGAAGACGCCAATCGTTTTTGGTGTGGGCGGAGTCATCGTTGCCATGGTAACAAAATTTTTTCCCGAAACATTCTAGAACCTGTAACTTCTGCAGTTTTTACCCGATTGTCATGAAATTTATATTTGTATTAAAATTTATATTTAAATTTACATTTAAAAATTAAATTTAAATTTAAAAATAAAAATAAAAATTTAATATTTGTATTAAAATTTCCATTTTAATTTTATATAATTTTAGACTTTATGATTTTCCATGTGAAATATATAATACTGATACATATATACATATAATAGGACATGTTATACTCGGCCCTAGGGTGTTGTCAATTCCCAGTGACAGCTATCGGCTATACAAAAAGCACAAGTTAAACAGGGTTCGTACCGAATACTTTCCCAAAAATGGTTCTTAGCGACTGACTCCCGCCACACCAAAAACGATTGGCGTCTTCGCTTTTCCAAACGCACACTCTGCCACCGCAATACCCCCCCTGTGTGTATTCTTCATCATACCTTGCACTCGGCAGGGCACGCAGTTGTCCTAACAAAACCTTTGTCTTTGGTGACTTCCTTTCCACTTTACCTGGCCTTCTACACGTCCTTCTCACACGAGGATATTCGCATTCATAACTAGATCACCGGGGGATACAACTGTAGTTTGGGCGACAACTGTCGTTTCTAGTTAATTGTTTGAACTTCTCGTGTATAACCCACGGCAATGGCGTCTATGGATATTAGTGTGGCGGGTGCATTTTAGGATGGCGGTGCTGAGGCTAGGCCTGCCCAGGTCGCCCAGGCTAATACAGTGCTCTTCGCAGACAGTCCCTGGAAGACGCACTCTACACTTTTATAAATTAATACAGTAGATCTTAGAGACTGTAGCGTGCAACACAGATGAAGCATAATCCTACACGATAATACAAGTGCATACGACTTTTAGGGTCACCATTCATCCTTTACAGTGCATGTACTGATTACCAGTAAACTAGTAACAGGAAAATTACAGTACAATGGTGAATGTAGGTCCATCGCTTAGTGCGATCAGGCCAACGATTAACTTTTATGGTACCAACATGCAATAAACAGTACCAGCTCTAGCTGCGGTTGAACTATTAAACCCACAGGTGCCCCTACCCGCGCCCGTCGAGTTTGTGTTGTTCAGCCTGACGTCGATCCACCCAGTCGGCTTCCAAAGTTGTCCTTCCCAGGGCAGCTTATCCCACACAACCAACTGCCAAGCAAGCAGTAACCCGCGCGGCGCCCGGCCCAAAAGCTCAACTGTCACGCTCTTGCGTGAAGGCCGGACCATGAAACCAACCCACAAAGCACACGCCCTTACAGCGCTGACGATGGCACAACAGCATCGAGGCAGCCATACACAAACCGGCTGCCCGTGATGGGTGTTGTGTTGTTATTTGTATCGTGCCGCGACCGTAATCGTTGCGTGAGCACAGGGAAGTCAGCTGTCCGATCCCCTGCATTGACACGAGCGAGCGGTGGGCCCACCTCGCTCGAAGATTCTTCCAGAAGGATTTGTCGCAAAACACCCGTCGGGCTGGCCTCGCTGCCGAAAATCAACTGCCTCTTGCCATAGAACAGTGCTATAATCACAGGCCAAAAATCAGCTTAGAATGCACCAAATGTTGCACTAATCTGTTTCAAAAATTTCACAGCGGCGGGCGGCGTCATCCCCCGTGACCCCCTACGCTGACGAGCACTTGCCTGGTGCTCCTTTCGCTAGGACCTCGAAACGTCCAAACACAATAAAAGAGCACCACTTTTGGCTAGTGGGCTAGTGCGACAACCACTGAGAATGATAACCGACTTCCATAGCTCCTACTGCAGCCGGTGTGTGCAGCGTTTCCGGAATCGCAATGCATTTCATTCTTAATGAAAGTGTGCACATGACACTGGGGAAGCTGCACCTTGGTGTGATAGAAGAGGGAGGGGAATATAATAAACCGCAAGAGTATATATGGGAGAACTCCCATCATATACCTAAATCTTCCCATTATAGTTTACTCTTGATAATGATATATGCATTTTTGATGGCGAAAATAACATGTTTTCGGAGATTCTGAAAGTCTGAAAGTCTGAAAATCTTGAACGAGAGATGGTGCTAACGCCTAAATGATCGCCCAATTTTGGTTTCGAGATGATCGTGCAAATAAAACACAGATAAAATATTTGCCCAGTCAAAATTACTGGTAACGAAGATATCTAAACATAATATATGACCGGTATAATATCGTAGGTATATCATTGTAGAGTTGTTAACGGCCACGTTAGACCGAAATACAACGTAATGAGGGACGTTGTCATCTCTCCCATAGGAGTAACAACTGTTGTTCGGGCTAGCCTTACAGCATTCACAATACCAAAATCGGAAATGAATTGGGTAGATGGGCCATTTTCCATTTTTGCTAAAAAGTGGGCAATGCTCGAAAGTAGGCTCGACTGGCGTGCCTCCAACCATCGGAAGTTCAACCTCTTCATAGGACGTAACAACTATTGCAATTTGAACGACATGTGGGTCAAACGGTATCGTTTGAGTTATTGTTGACCGTGAGCCAAATGTTGACGGATGGACGTACCGATGGACGACCACCATGGCGAATAGCTCATTCTGACGGATGTCAAGGCGAAGCTAAAAATGGACTGAATGAACATCATTGAACGACCAAGCATGTCAATCTGAAATACACCATGCAATCAGAACTGTCAAATTTCAATTCATTTAGAAAGTTTTGTCTCAGTTTTGATATCAGGCAATTTTAAAGCGGCACTGCAAGCATGTTGGAGGGGCACCAATGCAAAAGATTATCCCATTGAGCGGGCCAGTCAGGTCGGTTTTTTTACTTGATTATACTTTGAGACAGAGTTCGAGTACGTACACCAACGCAGGAAGGCAACGGGCGAGAAACCAAGTAGAGCACCCACGGGTGGTTACCTGCATGGACAATTAACAGATACAGTCAAGCTTTTTTATGCGGAATTTATCCCGATTTTTCATTTTGTCATTCTTATCGATGCCAACACTAAGGTGCCCCGTCTGTACAGTACTCATTTAACAGATGCATGTCGAACTTTCAGAACGTTTTTAATTGCCCGCATACATGTGTAGTTGGACATTTTAAGAGGAACCACAAGCAAGGCAAAAAGTCAACCGCAAACACTTTTGCCGTCAGCGGACGTGGCGAAACTCGAGCCCACGTGCAATCGGTCACGCTCCACTCACACTCGACGGTCCTGCCGCGGCCGTCGATGTCGGACGCCCGCCCATGCCCACGAGGACCGTGACGGGCCTGCGGTCGGCCGCTCACCTTGTGTAACGGCCCCGGGCTCACGAGGCGGCCGCGGGGGCCGGGCGCCGCCGGGCAACGCCCTTCGTGCAGTCGATCGCAGGTAAACTCCACCGTTTCCGTCGTGGCCTCGGCGGGATGCCTCGGCATACCCCTTGTGTCTGCGTCGGGCTGTATCCGAGACGACGAGGCCATTAGATCCACCGAGGTAAACCTGTAACAGTACAGTTACAGTGATCACTCTAGCCATTTCATCATTTAATTTATTCCCCGGCCCCTAATTGTTCCAATTTAGGGGCACCTTGCAAAAACCCAAAGGCGGCAAAGCCTTCTTAGGGGGGTCCGGGAGCATGCCCACGATCTGGGAATTTTTTTCAGGCAATACATCAAAATTTTGTGTTTGTTATAATTTCACTAAGCTTTCACCGCCTTGACATTTAAGATATTTCAATGCGGAAACGGGCGCAT